TTTACCTTTACCATGTTTCATTGCATCACATGTTTGCTGTAATCCACTGAAGTGCATTGTGGGTTGTACTGTGTTCTCAGGTTGTGAATCATCATTTGCTCCAGGACTTGACAAAACTTGGGCTGTGGAGTGAGGACATGAAAAATGTGATTATTGCAGGAGGAGGCTCTGTCTAGGTATCAAGGAGTAATGTGATGTCTTACAAAGTAGTCATTTTAATAGGGCGCAATAAAAGCCATCATCTTATTAATGTACAGTAGCTAGCAGTCAACCAAGGAATTACAAATGTCTTAAGCTTAATTCCTTGTGAGAGCTTCTAGTCAATAACAAAGCCATATCTTCTGCCATTGAACTTGCTAACTCTATTTCAGTATCTGAGGCAGTAATCTGGCAAGCAAGTGCCACCAGAAACAGTTCAGTGGTGATTTTAAGAGGCCAGATTTTTTTTGAGTGATAAAGAAAAACAATGTCTAGGATCTTCAAGTGTCCCTTAATTGGGTTACATTTGAGGATGTTATGGCAGAAGATTACCTCAGCATTGATACTTGCATTGAAACTTGAGTCATTATTGATGTAATAAAGAGTTCACTGAACACCCATCAAGCCTTTAGCAGAGAAAGATGAAGATGGAGAAACTTCTCATGATATACATCAGGGTTCTCCAGGCATTTTCTCTAAATCTAAATAATTCTTAACTATTTCATATAATCTGTATATCACAAGTATTGACTGAGAGTCAGGCCCCTGCATCAACAAAGCAGATGCAGAACACTTCATCACATTACTTGAAAACAAGTTATGGGAAAAACTGATTGTCTACTTTCCTTTGATACGACATGGACCGCATAGAAAATGACATGTATGTATATATATGTAAAAAAAAAAAATCTTTAATTTAATTCTATTAAACAGAAACCTCCCTACGACAGAAAAAAAAATCCAGACCCTTGGGGTTCTATTATGGAACAGGTTTCACTGCAGCAAGAAAATCTGTAATTGACCTATAGGCTTGGCATTATGATACTCCAATAAATATATAATACTATAATTTTACCTGCTTTGTGTGGATATGAAACTTTATCTTTCATCCTGAACTAAGAACACAAACTGAAGACATTAAGGAGAATGTTTGAATCTGAAAGACAGAAAGTAACAGGAAGCTAGGGAATTCCATAAGGTATGCTCTTCACCAAATATTATTAGTCATCATGTAAAATCAAGGAGAAAGAGATGTGTGAGGCATGTAGCATGCATGGGATGGACGAGAAACACGTAATATATTTTGACTGGAACACCTAAGGGGAAGACATTATCTGTGAGATCTATGCACAGATGGGAAGATAGTATTAAAATTTAAATTTGAAGGTGCACACTGGATTAATCTAGCTCAGGATAAGGTCCAGTTACTCTTGTGAATGTGGCAATAAACGAAGAGTACCGTGTTCTGGGATGTGACACCATGTATTCAGGCATAACATTTTGAAACTTCAGTTAACACTGCTTACTTGCTTTTCTCTTTGACTGTAAAAATAGAGGCTATATACATCTATGAAACATCACTTAACTTCTACCAGATAACATGGCACCATATCCAAAAGACAGTACTACTCATATTCATGACCATAAAAACCTCTAATCTAAATTGGTAATATACCCTTGGCTTCCATAAAGAGCGATGAATTCTATGACTAGCCGAGCAACTGTTAGCTTCTGAGTTAAATATTCTCATTCTCATTGACATTAGTGTTACATGAAGGTTATTAAAGATAATGTCCTACAACAGGATGTTCATAGCTTACCTACATGCTCTTGGGATCATTTTTGAGTCAAAAAGTTCTAATGAACATGGATCTGATCTTGAACAGTTTGTGAAAGAAATGAGAATGAGCATTCCAGTAGCAGTAGTAGTAGTAGTAGTAGTAGTAGTAGTAGTAGATCAGTAACATTAATAGTGGTAGCAGTAGCAGTAGCTCAGCACCACTTGCATTTTCTACAGAAACAGCTGCCACTGATGTCCTAGGTGGCCAGTTGTTTGGCCAGAGTGATCACCAGATCTTTTGCCTTTGGACTACTTTCTTTGGGGTCACCTGAAATCCCTGGTGTATGCCATCAAGTCAAACAGTAGGGCTGAGTTGCTGAATCAAAGAATGGACTCTGTGTTCACATCAAAAATGATTATGACTGTTGTGAAGAGGGCTGTTACTTCAATTTCATGAAGGGTTCAACTGTGCTTTGATGATTAGGGTAGCCATTTTGAGTCATGTAAATAATGCAATTGCAATGCAAACTTAAGAGTGTAGCCTAAACTTTTTACTGCTGCTGCCACCACTACTTCCACCAATAATAATAATAATAATAATAATAATAATAATAATATAACCTAACATTAAATGGAAATGTAAAAATTACAAATGCAACAGAACATTAATTCTCATTTTCTTCACAAACTACTGCAGATTGGACCCTGTTCAATTGAACTTTTTGACTCAAAATGATCCCAGGAGCAAGTAGTTATGCTAAGGACATTCTGCTGCACGTCAACCTGTATATGTAAAATTCATTTTACTGATTTTGAATACTGAATAATCTCAAATTTCTTTTCAAAACAGAAGTCTATTAGATGTTCTGAAACTGAGCAAATGCAAGAGTACAGGCATACTACCTTAAGCAATGTTAGAATATTCATTTACTCACATGCAAAATCTGTTATGGGAATGAATGTGTGCCATATCCAGTTAGAGGCACGGTATTATATTACTAGAAACTGTTTTCAGTGTACTTCAAGCATTTATATGACATACATAGAAATTTTCTTCCATATGGTTCCTTATGTAATATATGACATTTTCCTTGGCACTACAGCCCCAGTGGGCCTAGGCCTACCTCCATGAACTTCTCTGTTCAGTTCGGTTTTTCGAGATCTTACACATATGGTAGGACTCCTTGGGCGAGTGATCAGCTCGTCGCAAGGCCTCTACCTCTAGACAAACACAGAAAAACGCACACAAACATCCATGCCCTGAGTGGGATTTGAACCCATGATCTCGGCTTCCAAGTGAGCGAAGACAGTGCATGCCTTAGACCGCTCGGCTACCGTGACCAGCAATGTATGACATACCCCGTTCATTTCATTTATAAATACATGAGAATAAACATCAAAACTGGGTTAACCAACATGGAAGTAAAATATCAGTGCAATACCCTTCAGATCATGTTTATTATTCTGACACAAATCACATTTAAATTACAATAAACAATTTTTAACAAAAAGTTAATCCTTGTCAGATGTCCTAATTGTAAAAACACAACTGCAAAGTAACTTTAAAATTAGTTTCTATTACTTATAAATATAAATTATTTCAGTGTGAGTTTGAACATAACAGGTTGAACTGGGGTCTCTAACACAAGTCAAAATGATAAATACTGCAAAGGAAGGTGTAAACATCATGATGGATAATACCTTATACTCACAATAAATCATCATTCTTGTAACAAGTTTTTCTTAGTTCACCAATCAAATAAAGATATCACTTCTCAGAAGCATGTATATTTAACAAATTAGGAAATGCTTCCACACTGTAATAAGTCTGGCACATTTACTCCTGTTTGTTTCATTACATAAAACTGCATTGGATGAAAAGCGCATTTCAATTTTCTTTTCTACATTTGTTCCATATATTTTTTGTCATGATAAGTGTTAGCAAATTACATGACATCTATAATTGGTAAGTGCATACAAATGTACATAGGCCTTCATGTGAAATGTTCACCACTGCTGCTAAATTTTAACCACAACTGTAACAGCTGCAAATTTTGGTAAAACCCAATATCAATTTCCATGGAAATCTGTTCAGCAGTTCTCAAGGTATTACAAGCGGACAGACAAGAATGGTGAAGCTTTGTTTGATCTTTTTGTTGTGAACATACAAAAAGAAGAAAAAAAATACTTATACATGTAACATACAACAATATATTTGACCAGATTCTTATGCATCATGGATGAGAATATTGATGTATTTGTGAAGCCCTTCCAATATTGGATTCAGAGCTACCTTAGCTTTCTTCACGTGGACACATAAACATATTATTTAGTACAATGTGCAATATGAATGCTGTACTCTTGTATAAACACTGCACCTTCTACTAAAGCATAAAAAACTATGAAGATATTGAATCTCAAGCAGCAAAGCTGCAGGCTGACAACAGACATTAGTACACTTTGCAACATGTGTGTTGTCTGGTCCAGCTCTTCGTGAATATGCTTGGTTTTCAGTGAAAGCAAGTAACACACAGTCCTGTTTGAAAGGTTATCAGTTAATCTGTTAGGCTATTAACTCTTTTATGGAAGGTTTGGAATGTTGTAAGCATGGAACACAGTACAAACCCAGCTTTACATACAGATTATGGTCATTTAGGATGCCATGCTGTGGAGTCTGGCAGAATATTACCAATATCTCAGATGATTCTTTCAAAACCTTGGTAATGGTAATGTTCTACCAAACCGCACTCATCACATACCAGAAGACAGTAACCTTCACACTCATTGCCATGAGAACCTCAGATCTCATCCAGCTTTTGTCTTGGGAGAAAAATGTGTTCCCAATTACAATGTACATAATAGTCATAACAACATTAAAGAATATAAACATAAAGACAAACACAAACAAGCTGCTCATACTAATATAAAATTGACAGTTTTACTGCATTAAATGAAAACAAAACTGTGAAAAAACATGTCATACTGCAGTTAAGGAGATGAAAGTTAAAAGAGTCTTGGGATTGTTAATACACCATGTAATAAGATAAAGGTCAAGCTACCCTGTAACAGGCCGTGAAGGCCCTTAGGGTTGTGAGATGTAAAGGCTCGCACAATTGGCCCACAGATGGTGGTAATGTTGTTAATCTTACGTGCCGGCTGTCCTTTATCCTCCAGGAAGATTCCTGGTACTCATTTCTGTTAGAGGCTGAGTCGAAACCAGGGCCCATAGTGCGGCTGGAAGGATTAGGTCAATTGAAGTAGTATTTAACATTTAGGAGCTGTACAATGCATTACTATGACATGCATGTGTCCAGCAAGCCTAGCATTGTATTTTTCAACACAAATATCATCATACTCCCAAGTCAAAAATCTGCCACAGGTTGTGGGATTCAGAGCTTCCTTAGTTATCTTTTCACAGACATGTAAACATGCTATTCAGTACAATGTTCAGTATGAATTAAACGCTATTGTATAAACACTGCATTTTCTATTATGACACAAAACTATGGAAGATACTGCACCTCATGCAAGCAAATCTGCAGGCTGACAATAGAATTCACAGCCATAAGACATGAAAACGTTTTCCGACATGTCACGTCTGGAAATGTCGATTGTACAAAGTATTCACACAGCCAAATAAATTAGGTTCCCATTAAAATTTCAAGATTAAAATAATATATAAACAAAGAAGGCAACATACTAAACCTAACTTGACAATACATACTGACATATCGTGCTATGTTTGACACACAAAGAACAGCTGTTTCGAACTTTCCACCAACTTGTTACAGTTTATTGTCGTCCATCTTCGTAACCTGGAAAAAGCTGATGAAGTATGGCTGAGAGACTTTCATTCACGGCCATGTTGCACTTTCTTCCAAGATCACAACGGCAACAGGGACACGTATAAACACTGGCTGCAAAAGATCTTTGCAAACAGTTCTTGCAGAAGTTGTGTTTGCAAATGGTGGTGACTGGCTTATGAACCAGCTCCTGGCAACATATGCACATGAAGGTTTCAGCCACTTTGGCAATATATGTCTGTTTTCCATCTTTCAGGTACTGACTGCATGAGTCCCATAGTTTTGTGTTGACATCTTGTTCAATCAACTTCTTCAAACTCCTATCAAGCTTAAACTCTACAATCTTAGGTCTCTTAACTGGGCTGCTAGGCTGTTTAAGGGCTTCATGTAACCTTTTTTTGGGCTTAGTTTTTTGTTCTTTTGATTCTTGTTCCTCAGGTTCCAGCTTCTCTTCTTTGGCCTCCAGGTAACCATCAGGCACCTCTGTCTTATCTAATCCATGAAGCTTAATGAATCTCTTGCCTTCTGCAGTCCAAGGGGCTGGGCTATCATCATCACGGCGAAGACGATATCTCCACACGATGAAACCAGACTTTCCTCTCTCCGGGTAATATTCCACCACTTTATAAATACCATCATACCGATTCCCAACATCAGGAGCATATTTCGAATACTTTTTCAATTTGTAGTTTCTGACAACTCTCACAGGTTTCCCATCTTTCCAGTTTTTGGCTTTAGCTCCTTTACTATTAAGTTTTGCATTACAATTAAGTGCTAATGCTTTGTTTAAACGTGTTAGTGTTTGATTACTGCTCTGATCTGCTGTACGTTTGTTTCCAGATAAGTCACGTCCTCCTGAACCTGTGTAGAGAAACTCATCACCATTGTCCACATCATCCTCATAGCCCCCACTAAGCACAATACTGTACGCACCATCAGACTCACGACCATGAATACCAGCAACATGAGGACGATGTACACCAGACTCTGAGACCTGAACTCTATACAGCCAGGAAGTCCCAACTTCAACACCAGGGACTGGGCCATAATGATTTCGTTGCACCAATGTACATTCCTTGGTTCGCCCCACACATGCCATTCCTTTCCCCCAGTCACGTGTACATTTGGCATTCTTGGATTGTAACTTTGCTTTCTTTTTACTTTCTTTTAATTTTTCACCTGCTTTTACAATCTCATTCTCATCATTTTTGCAATCAGGACAATACCACTCATCACTATCAGGAATATCTTCCAGAGGTGGATCAAGACATCTGATGTGGTAAGCCGTGTTACATTCATCACACAGTATCTGTAAAGCAGGGTCATCCTTTCCACCACAAACATAACAACTGCACTCCCTGCACCTTATATGTGGATTGTCATGACATCCTGGACAATTAAGAGCAATCTGGCGTAAAGGTGTTTCCATTTGCATCAATTTGTCATATTCTGAGCTCCTATCTGCAATTGATATTGGTTTCTCAATCTTCAGTATATCATCACAAAATATGATCTTGCAGTTCTCTAACAGTACAGCATCTCTTCCTGCATATAAACAGCCAATAATTTCATTATCTCTTCTCCTCTTATTAATTGCAGTGATACGAACATCATACCAGTATCCTCTACCTTGTGGATTATCAAAGTTATAGTTTGCCATAACAACATCATTTATTTTCAAGTCACAAAAATTATATTTATGTCTAGCTCTTGGTCGTACATGTTCAAAATTCACTTCTACAGCTGGATCACCTTCATTTTCTTCAAATACAACTTGATACAATATCCCGCCATCTTCTGTATTTTCTATCATATTTCTATTGTCAGTGTTTTTAATCACCTCACTATCTGGTATCTTCCCATCAGCATTAACGGCCTCCAAATTTCCACTGCATGCTCTTCCTGGTAATGTAGGCCATTTCACGGTTTCAGAACCACATTCATCACGTTTCACAATACCAACGATCTTTCCCTCAAACCAAGCACCGCTGGAAATTTTTCTTACGTCAACTAAATCTCCTACTTTGTAATACTTGCTAGAACAACTCAGTTTCTCTTTACTTTCCGGAACTCCACCTCCAGAACTTTTATCTGCCGTCATAAGACCTGCAGTTTCTGCTGTAGTCGCCGATGGTAATGAAAGGGTTTCGGGGTCAGGCTTAACCATCACCTGAATCACATCATTCAATTTGATATCGTAATCAAACATTTTATACTCATCTTCAAGCTGTTTACCACGATAGAAAAGTCTCTGTTTTTCTCTCTTAATGCCAAATTTTTGTTCTACCACATCTTTGAACTCTCGAACACTTGTTATTTTTGATATAGTTACAGTCACATTCGTTTTTCCGTCTACAGTACGAACTTTCACATACATATTTAAGCCGTTCACAATACTTCCTGACAAGCACAACTATCAAACATTACAGTGAATTGGCGCGCAACACAATACTAAGACGGCAAAGACGCTATCTAATCAGGAGGGCCAACATCAAGAATTGAACTTCCCAATTACATACTGCACTCTTGACAACAAATGATGATGGAAAGCAGCCACAGCTGCTATACGTAAGTCGGCAAAGAACAACGTTCGTCTTTGCGTATGGGAGAACTCTGCTAGGATGAGCGCCACATACTTTATCCCTTCGTAGAAGACCTTTCACGTTGCATTGCTAATATTGATTTCTGTGTTTCTAACTATGTCCGAATGAGCAGTTTCAGTGGAAAGAAGAAATATCGATGAATTATACTAATCTTACTGAATTCGGAAACTAGGCTAGTAATATGAGGGATAAAAGAAATAAATATTGATAATATAGGTGATGTAAGTACATTTAGTGATACACAAGAGGAATCACAGTCAGAGCGGTCAGAGCCTTCCCTAGGGCAAGTAAGGTAATAGCCGAAGGTCCTCGCTTTCCGGTATCCGCAGACCGTGCCACAGCTCAGGAACAAGTCGCCGATTTCCCACCATGGTGTCCAGGGCTCGGTGCCAGATCAGGTGACGTGGAATTTGTAGTGGAAATATTGTTACCGGGTCAAGTCTCATAATACTGAGCCATAGTTCTACTTATGGTTCCGTTCAGCGGCTTCTTTCCCTACCTCCCTTTCCTTTTTCACTTTCCCAGGAACCCCAGGAAGTTCTACTGTTCCGGAACTTGTTCCGTTCATGCTTACCACGTGACCCCCCCTCCAGCTGTTGCTAAGATCTCGTGAGCTCGTGAGCAGGAAGGAGGTGGATTAAATACACTTGTATAGCAGTCGCAGAAGCAGGGTAGTGTCTCCCTTGGGTTTGAGGCGACTTGGTTGCAAGCAGTCAGAGGAACAGGTAGCAAAATTCCGTTTGGATTTGGACAGTCTAAATTCGGTTTGGTTTCTTCTTCTGACTGGGTAAGGGTAGCGTTTCCCCTGGTTTTGGGACCAGTGGTAGCTAGAATTAGCTTTTTCTTCGGGCACTTATTTTACTTTCCTGGCGTTTTGTGTATTGCCCCGACTTTAAAAAAATGGGGCTGTATTTGACTGGTTAAAAAGTGTGCACGTATCTCTCGAGAGAATGTTTTTCTATGAGGGAGTGGCTCGCCGTCAACGCGGTAAGAGAGCGAAATTCAGTTTCGGGCTTTGTTTTTTTTTCCCCCTTCTTCTTGGTTGAAAATTCAGGTTCGTTTTTGGTCAAAGTTTTTATGGGCGTTGACGGCGAGAAATCTCCAAAAATACTCAACGTCAGTCTTGCGGCGTCGCTAGTGGACTTGTATTTCTTGGTCTTTCACTGTATTGTATCTGACTGAATTTTGTTAAATTAAATATTTACTATTGTTTTTATCTGGAGATTTTTCTGGTTATCGTCGGTCAAGACCTATAACTTGGACACCCCACTCTATCTTGGGGATAAAGGAATTGCGAAACAACGTAAAGGAACCAGGGACGAAAGCAGCGTCTCCCCCCCCCCCCTCCAGTTGGGTTAAGAGGGAAGGGGCTGCTCAATACTTCGGTTTCCCTACAAATTCTCATTCCACCAACTATTTCTCTCTGATTAATCATGCTATCATGGATGCTATATGACTTCGATAATTACACCATGCTCAATAACAAACATAACAAAGAAAACTTGGAGCCTCCGGCCATGTATATCACACAGTAAGCCGTATTTCTTTAACACCGACCTACATATTAGTGTAGCAGGATCATACGTTTGTTCTTTTAATCCCAAATCCTGGAGAAAATCGTTCGCCCGTTGGCATAATAGGAAGGCGTAACATTGTTGTCAATAAATAAAACAATTGCTGGTAGTAGAATGGGGCAACTTTTCTAAGACAACGAAATAAGCTATTAAAACAACCGTGTCACTGCTCTGTCGACAATAAGCTTTAGATGGTTTATAGGAGAGACTCTGAAACTAAAACAAGAAGCTGAACTATGTGTTGTGTTTTAAATCATTTGTCCATTGATTTACTTTTCATATTTGTTACTTACGTTAGGATTTATTCGTCTTATTATTTAGCGTCTAAATTTTTGTTTTACGTAAGATTTTAAGTTTTAAAAGCAAGCAAATAGAATGAAATCTAGGACAGACAGGAAATCCAGCTCATCTTGGCACCGCCAATTACCTGGGAGAACTTCATTGAATTGTATTATGATCAAACAAGGTAATACTCTGCATTTTATTACGTTAGAAACATTAATTTATTCCTCTCTCAATGGGTGTGTTGAATGACTTTCATCTCGATCCTCTTGCTAATTCGTTATCTCATTACCACCATTCGTTATTGATCTCTTAATCCGACAGAAAATCAGACGAAATTTACCTTAATGACACCTCTCCGCAGTACACTGTATGTAAAAATGTATGTTGTAGTATATTAATCCAAGGTGGTAGTAAGGTTAAATGCCGCCCAGGCTACAACTAATTTCTCCCGTCTCGATTAAAAATAGCGCACTCTCTCAAAATCTGTACAAATTAACACAAAATTTCCAGACGTTTAACCGAAACCCGTTATCTTAAAAGGAGTCTTATTTAAATCGTACAAGAACGTGTTCAGGTTGCCGTCAATATGAACATGATATGAACCAAATATCAGCAGAAATTAATTTTCATTTAACAAGTGTAATAGCACCTCTTACGCTTAGCGCAACTTTGTGATAGTTCTCTTCCTACACTCCTTCCGTTCTTTTGTGCGTCTTTATTGTAGCTGCTTCTTTCGCTGTACTGATAATTATCTCAGGTTGTTTTTATTATATAAGGAGGTGAGGTTTGTTGTATTCGGTAGAGCTTCTTACCGTCCCCCTCGTGTAACCTCAAGCCACACCGGTTGCTGTTACTCTTTACCTTCCTTCCTTTCTCTTGCGTTCTCACCACTGCCGTCGTTGGTCGTGGAGCTTGCCGCTAGGTCGGCTTTAGCTGGCTCCACCGCTTCTCCAACTCCACCACTTCTCTTCACTATGGGAAGGGTATCCGGTCCGGGACTTGGACTGGATGGTTATGGGCGCCAGCAACTGTGGGTACAGCTGCAAAGTGAAGGGAAAAGGTGGACGGGGTGGGAGCTGATGATGATCGGGCTAGCAGTGGTTGGCGTGAGACTCTGGCTCAGGTCGTTTAGGGCCTTACTCCGACGAGGAGGAAAGAACACACGGGACACACAAACACTTGGCACCACTTAACTTTATTGACTTTTTTTAATCTGCGCGCCTCTGAGATACATTTCAGTGCGTTACTCTACTGTAATTCCACCCGTTGCTCGAACACTAATTTTACTTAACATACGAGTGAGACAGACAGACGCGTCCGGTCAGTT